TGGCCTGAAATCAGAGTTCTTACTGCTTCCTATGCTGTGATAGATAAAGTTCTTTAACTTTACTCCCAGAGTCAGGAGTCTTTCAGAGGATCCATGAAACAGATAGGGTAACTCTTCAGGTGGTCTCTACAAAAAATAGAAAGCAAACAAAAACTCCCTAAACAGAAACAAAACCTTCATACCTTTCACAATTCATGATAGCATTGTCTCTAAACTGTAATGTGATGGGCAAGTAAACTATTCTCAATGATTCAAAATAAAACTCTTTTCAATATTAGATCTTGGAAGGAGTTCAGTAATTATACCCCATTTCTTGACCAAGTGAGAGCATGGAGATATTTGCTCTCTGCCTCTAAGATCAGCAGAGATCTGTGGGGTCTTAACATCTCACAGACAGTTACACTATTCTTTGCATTTATGATACTACACTAACTTAACCCAATGAACAAGAAGCAGCTAGTTCCTTAGATGCCTTAGTAAGAGGTAAGTGAGCTAGCAGTAAGGGAAATCTTTTCTTCAGTTATCAGTCAGCATCATGTCCGAAAAGAGAAGTTGCTCTGTGTACCAATCCCTGAGAACTTAATGTAAGGAGCATGTTAAATAGATGCTTAAAAACTGAGCAACTGAAATAGGAACATCAAATTACTACTGCTATTGATGCTTCTGGCAGCAATTATCAACCTCATTGCAGATTTTGAGGTCATAAGCAACTGGGGTTTGGAGGCAAAGCTCTATAAAATCAGAATTCTGAGCAGAAGGTGTCCACAGCTAGTGCTGCATTTCAAAAGCTCCTGGGGACCATCCTAGGACAAAATCTGGGTCTCACACTTCTAAGGAGGACAACTTGTGGGTGGGTGCTAAAATCCCTGTAAGAGTATGATAAAGCCAGGCAACAATGAAAAATGGAAAATAAAACAAAGGAAGAAAAATTGGATTGCATGCTGGAAGCAATTGCCAGTGCCAGGTGAGGTTCTGTTGCTATGGTAACGTGAAAATGAATAGCAAGCAAATGGAAAACAGCAAATCCTGCCATTCTTCCTCTAGTCCCCTGGGTTCTTCAGACTCCTTTATGGGCAGAGTTTACCAGATGTTTAGCAAAAAAGAAGTAATACTCCAGAATCCCAGCTCAGAAGCATAGAGAGTATGTGGTAAGAGAGATGCATGTACTTAACAACTGACACATTACAGAAATAAAATTCTAACTTCAAAGTAAGACTCCAGAATTAAACCCCAGTGGATGGCTAATTTACCTCTGTAAGTCCTAGCAACCAAATCTTGGGTTAGTCCTTATGCATAAACACTTTCTTTTTTTTTATTATTTTTTTTTTTTATTTTGCAATACCATTCAGTTCTACATATCAGCCACGGATTCCCTTGTTCTCCCCCCCTCCCATCCCCCTCACCTTCCCCCCAGCCCACCCCCCCCCCCTCCATTCCCATCTCCTCCAGGGCAAAGCCTTCCCCACAGACTGAGGTCAACCTGGTAGACTCAGTCCAGGTAGGTCTAGTCCCCTCCTCCCAGGCCGAGCCAAGCAATCCTGCATAGGCCCCAGGTTTCAAACAGCCAACTCATGCAATGAGCACAGGACCCGGTCCCACTGCCTGGATGCCTCCCAAACAGATCAAGCCAATCAACTGTCTCACCCATTCGGAGGGCCTGATCCAGTGGGGACCCCTCAGCCATTGGTTCATAGTTCATGTGTTTCCATTCATTTGGCTATTTGTCCCTGTGCTTTATCCAACCTTGGTCTCAACAATTCTCGCTATACTGGACTCCCAGAGATCCACCCAGGGCCTAGTCATGGATCTCTGCATCCAGATCCCTCAGTAGTTGGATGAGGTTTCTTGTAGCTTAAGTTTTCCTGCCTGGCCCACAGTCAGGGCAAATCTCTCTCACCTGCCAGTCCCACAGCCGTCAGACCCGACCAAGTAAACACAGAGACTTGTATTGGTTTCAAACTGTATGGCCATGGCAGGCTTCTTGCTAACTGTTCTTTCAGCTTAAATTAATCCATTTTTATAAATCTATACCTTGCCACATGGCTCGTGGCTTACCGGCATCTTCACATGCTGTTTCTCATCGTGGCGGCTGGCAGTGTCTCTCTGACTCAGCCTTCCACTTCCCAGCTTTATTCTCCTCCTTGTCCCGCCTACACTTCCTGCCTAGCCAATGGCCAATCAGTGTTTTAATTATTGACTAATCAGCAACACATTTGACATACAGAACATCCCACAGCAGTTTCTAGCACAACAATTAGGGTGTTTGGTCATCCCATCACCAGTAGGTCAGTTCGGGCTGTCTCTCGACCATTGCCAGCAGTCTGTTGTGGGGGTATCTTTGTGGATTTCTGTGGGCCTCTCTAGCACTTTGCTTCTTCCTATTCTCATGTGGTCTTCATTTACCATGGTCTCCTATTCCTTGTTCTCCCTCTCTGTTGTTGATCCAGCTGGGATCTCCTGCTCCCCCAAGCTCTCTTTCCCTCGACCCTCGCCTTTCACTACCCCCACTCATGTCCAGGCTGTTCATGTAGATCTCATTCTATTTCTCTGTCATTGGGCGAGCATAAACACTTTCTATAAGCCTAATGGGTAATTCATTTCCTGAGGAAATATCCATGGATATGTTAACATGGAAGGGTGAAAATTTCATGGGATCCCACACCTAGAACTACAAGAAACTTCTGACTGCTGAGAGAAGCAGAGTTAGCTTCCCCTAGGGATGAGTCCCCTTATTGACTTTCCAATGCAGAATGGCCAGTTTTGAAATCATAGATACACTACCAAGAAAAACAGACTCAGCAGTGTGTGTGTGTGTGTGTGTGTGTGTGTGTGTGTGTGTGTGTGTGTGTGTATTCCCCAAATTTACATTATATTAACTTAACCCAATGAACAAGAGGAAGTTAGTTCCTTAGCTGCCTTAGTAAGAGGTAGGTGAGCTACCAGTAGGGGAAACCTTTACTTCATATATAAAGATTTGTGCATACACATACATATCGCTGTGTGCATGTAATAATAATTTTAAAAAAAGGCATCAACTTGAGAGTGCAGGTATGGGAGCAGTTCAAGGGAGTGAGAAAAGGGGGCAGTGATGGGATTCTCTTTCCTTTCTCTTTTAAAGTGAATAAACAATTTATTTAACATTCAAACTTCACTAAGACATGTGCAATATGGCAACTTTACTGGGGGTTTAACCCTACCAAGGATATGATTGCTTGCTTCAAGATTTATTTATTCTTTTATGTATGAGTGCTCTATCGACTTTATAACACTATAGATGCTTGTGAGCCACCATGTGGTATCTGGGAATTGAACTCAGGACCTCTGGAAGAGTAGTCAGCGCTCTTAACCTCTGAGTCATTTCACTAGGCCCCCGGGATCCTATTTTCATTAAAAACATTTCTAAAAAAATTTTCTCTATCCCTTTGCACAGTTATTCATTTCTTCTATTATGAAACATATTTCCAGAGTAATAAAAATAATATACACCGAGGACAAAGTACCTAGCTATTTCCTCTATTGCTCTAAGAACCACATATTTGATTACTTTATCTAATCCTCACAAACCTCCTAAGTTTTATACCACATTCCCATGTTTTACAAATAAGGTTGATTAAATAACTTGCCCAGAGTCACACAGCTAATTAGAAGTAGAACTAGTTCTTTAAAGCTTATGTCTTAAAAATATTATTTTAGTTATGTGTATATGCCTGTGTGTTGACTGGTTCATGTGAGCACAGGCTCTCTGTGGAGGAAAGAGGTGGCTTGATTTCCCTAGAGCTGGAGTTATAGTGGTTGTGAGGTGCCTGGCATGGTGCTGCGAACTGAACTCAGGTCCTTTGCAAGAGCGAAGATCAACCCCTCAGCTCAACATCTCAACCCCTGAGCCATCTTTACACGCTCTGAAACTGTGTCTCAATCAATTCAGAATACTGCCTTCTCAAATCCAATTCATAGATCAATTCCTCTGAGAGCATTTTGCTCTAAAGACTTTAAGGGGTTTCCATAATCTTTCCTGCATAGCTATTTAATTTACAATTGCCTATGACCACTTTGCAATAATTTTTCATTTTCTACTTTATTCGCTAATGAATTACACGTCTAGATTAGTTACCGGCACGGAAGGACTCAGTAAATATTTGTTGGATGAAACCATGCATCCAGGACATCTTGAAGTATAAGAATATAATCTATAAATTGTTTTAAAATACGTTACTTTAATGGACATCTGATATAATCATTAAGGAATTTGGTGCTATATATATCTATAGATATATATAGATATATATATAGAGAGAGTTGGTTTTTGAGACTGGGTTTCTCTGTGTAACTTCGGCGCCTTTCCTGGAACTCACTCTGTAGCCCAGGCTGGCCTCGAACTCACAGAGATCCTCCTGCCTCTGCCTCCTGAGTGCTGGGATTAAAGGCATGAGCTACCACCGCCCAGCAAGGTATGATAAATTTTAAAGTTATTTTTCTTTTTGAAACAAAATTCCTGTGGCTTCCAGTTCTATCCCCCATTCCCACCCAACCCCCTCCCCCCCCCAAAAAAAAAACAACTTTCGCTGAATTCTAGAGTTTTCTCACATCCCTCTTCAAGATGCTTTATTGACCATTGGCCACTGCTAATAGACCATAATACATACAAAACTTGTGAACCCAGATAAAATGAAAGATTTCTCAACATATTGCAGGTGGAACCAACAACTTACACTTGAAGCTCTGTCTAAGGTTTAATTTCCTCAGACTGTTATGGTCCGACGGGTCCAGAGATTCCCGGCTTCAACATACCACTTCACTTCCCAAACTTCTGCAAGGCTTCAGGAGGTCTAGGGCAACTGATGCAGAGACCGAAGCCCCGCCCCTTGACCCTATGCGTCCCACCCCCACCCGCCTAGAGCTTGTCTGTTGCCATAGAAACCCAGAAAGCGCCATGGCTGCCGCCGGTCAGGCAGATGAGTGCTCATCACAGCCGGCGGCAGCCCCATCCAAGTCATCCTCACCTTTACCGTCAGCGGTTTCCGTCCGAAAGAAGCCTAAGAAATGTGTGATGTATCCGCATCCCCCGAGGAGCTCCCGCCTGTCTCGTACCGTCCTGCGCTGGCTCCAGGAGCTGGATCTCAGCTTTTTCCCTAGGAACATCACCAGGTGCAGAAACAAGCCAGGCCCCAGGGAAGGGCCCCAAGTCTCACCCCCGCCCCTCGGCCACCTGCAGGGCTTCAGCTCAGGCTCTGTTGTCCTGGAATTGGCCGCCCTTCACCCTACAAGACATTACACATCAAGACAGGAAGCTCCAGAAAAACTTGAAACATTTTTTTTTTTGCATCGATTTTATTCAACTGATCGTTACATTGTAGACTTAGGCTAACACGGAGTGCTTTGATAACTACAAAAGCCAAGGGCTCTCTGTATTAATAGTAATAAGAATTAGTTTACCCTCCTTTAGAAAGGAGGTAAGTTCGAGTGTGACCTAGAGTTAAAAAGCTGCGGCTTACCGGAAACACGCTGAATGTCACTGGCCGTTGCTATGGAATGTGAACAAAATTCCATAAAAATGAAGACCATGGATCTTTTGCAGGAAGACTAAGTTACTAATTTCAGTAGTGGACTATTCGAAAAAACGTCTGTGATACTTTCAGTGGCCATTTGAATCACTTGGCAATATTGTTAAATCTAACCATTTGGATTCATTAAAGGAACACCAAAGCCTTAGAGAATAATTTTAACACACTGCTTTCCATTAAGAGTCCTTCTTAGAAAAATGAACCAACACAAGTGTTTCCAGACATTTTGTCATTATGAAGTATTAGCCATTAATCACACAATTATATAAATTATATTAACGATACTTTCTTTTTCTTCATTTCCTTATTGTTATGCATCAGGGATTTTTCAAATGGCTACCTAGTTGCAGAGATATTCTGTATATATTACCCCTGGCACCTTAGGTTATCATCCTTTGAAAATGGAACCTCCTTAAAAGTCAAGCTGGATAACTGGGCACAGATAGAGAAGGTAAATGAATAAATTCACAACAGTTTACTGTGGAGTTTGTTTTAGAAAGTGCACCTTTTATATTATTGATATCTGTGAGAGAGAAACAGAAAGGAGAGAGTATGTCAAGTCTAGGATATAACTGAAGTTTGTCGAGCTCCAATTGTTTACATTACAAAATTATAAATAACCTATGAAATTCAGCATATATCAATTAGTGTGGTACATAACAGTGGCTTCCTTGCAAACAATAGCAAACGTTGATAATTAACAAAAATTTTAGTTCAAAAGAGAAGAGGGTTGAATTTGGTTATTTTTCTAGAACTTTCGACGACTAAGTATTTTCTTTCTATTATTAAAGTTTCTAGCAAAAAGAAATTTAAAACTACCTAAAGAACTAATCCATGGGACAATTCACTGTAAACCTGGGGTGCCGGAAATACTGATTCAAGAGGTTTACACTTTACTCACACATCGAGAGTAAGTAGTTTGAAATTTTATAACTGTATAATTTAACGTAAACTTGGGATGATGTAAGGCTCATGAATAAGACATGTTTTGTCAACAATACTTTTGTTTCTTATTTCCAGAATTAGAAGCATCCAGGAAGACTACCCCAATTTCACAGACTATAGTTACCAAATGCGTTTGCCACTCGTTCCCAGGTCTACCCTTTCAAAGTCTATTAAAGATAACATTAGGTTATCGGAATTACTAAGCAATCCTAATATGCTCAGCAATGAACTCAAGATAGAATTCCTCTTCCTTTTACAAATGTTGCAAAGAAAATTGAGTAGAAAATTAAACCCAGGTAAGCTTTCCCTGCCGACAGGTGAGTTCTTCTGAAATCAGCAGGTTTGGTCTTGAGCTCAGATGGGAGAAAATGATGCGGTACAATGAGTGATTCTCACTGGAATGGATTCTTTCTCTATCTATTTCTTTCTGTGGAAGCCACAAGTTATATAGCGAATAGACTCCCATTTTTAGAAAAATGTTTATCAGCCTACAAATCAAACGTTTGTGGGAAATAAGTTCACATATCAACCACACCTCAAGAGAGCAGGAACATTTGCCTCAAGTGGTCCTCCAGGTGTTGGGAAGAGCTTAAGATTATCATGATTCATTCTTGATGCCGTGGGGGAGAATATGGTCAGAGATACTTTTTCTCTACTATAGTTGTTGGTATGTGGGTGGAAGGGCAGCTTTCCAAAGGCTCGCCAAAATGATTGTTAAGTCATCTTAAACTCTTGCCGTCCTGCCCATCAGTTGTCCCAGGCAGATGGCAAAGTGAAAGTGGTATTCCATCTCTACCATTATCTCCAATTTTTTTTGCCTCTGTTTTTATCTTTCTCATGTCTGTATCTTATCAACTGCCTCCTGGATTTCACACATAGAAAACCGATTGTTTCTGTAGCAAACCAACTGTTCAGGAAATCTGTGTGTCATTAGGATGTTTCTTCCCTTTGAACTATATTTACTGAAGGAAAGAGCCACTTTCTCTTCAGTCTCTGGAAGGTGGAAGGCTGCAGCTTGAATTCTTCTCCACACTTGGGCTGTGTGGATAGCCCCCACATGAATGCTGCTTGGCCTTTTCTCTTCCCTTACTGTGTTCATTTCTCAAACTCCTATACTGTTTCTCTTCCTTGATCTGTTATCTCTGGTTCTACTCATTTATTTGTGAGCAAAGAAATAACGTAAGGTATTAATACCTTTGCAGGATTTTATACTTAAAATGTGTATGTTTTAAACATTACAGGTAAACATTACAATTTTGTTGCAAAAAGTATTGCACACCCATGTATTTAATACATTTACATATATTATATATGAACAATTTAAGAAGCTGCTAATGATGGTAAACTGTAAGACAAATTACAGTCTTACTAATAAAAACCTGGAGCCAGATATTGGGATTAAAACTGAGAGATCAGAAAAGCAGAAAGAAGCCAGCCACGTTTTTTCACCACTTGGAGACCCTCAGCCAAAGAGACCTACTTCCTGTATACTCACACCTATATGCCTTTCTATTCTGCATCTCACTTCCTCTCTCTGCCCAGCTACATCACTTCCTGTCTGTCTGTATAGACCTCCAGACCTTTATGGTTAACTAGAGTTGGAATTTAAGGCATGTGCCACCATGCCTGACTCTGTTCCCAGTGTGGCCTTGAACTCACAGAGATCCAGATGGATCCATGCCTCTCGGGTGATAGGATTAAAGGCATTAGCTACCATTGCCTGACTTCTATGTTTAATATAGTGGCTGGCTTTTTCCTCTGATCCTCAGATACACTTTATTAGGGTGCACAATATTTTGGAGGACACAATACATCACCACAGTAAACAGTTGCCCATCTTTATGCAGTTTAAGAAATATGCCGGGCGGTGGTGGCGCACGCCTTTAATCCCAGCACTCGGGAGGCAGAGCCAGGCGGATCTCTGTGAGTTCGAGGCCAGCCTGGGCTACCAAGTGAGTCCCAGGAAAGGCGCAAAACTACACAGAGAAACCCTGTCTCGAAAAACCAAAAAAAAAAAAAAAAAAAAAAAAAAAAATAGTACCAACACCTTCTCTTCTCTGGGTGGAACCTTCTTGATTGAACTCATCACACTCTCCTCCCAGGGAAACCACTGTCTTCCTGCTTGAGTTGATAGATTAGATTTCCTAGATTAAATTAATTTCCTAGATTAAAATAAAGTTAAGCCATATATACCATCATGTTATTCTCAGTTTTAGCCACACACATATACACACTTGTGTTTGCATGTTCTGCATGTGTTGTACTAGTGATTGAACCAAGGGCCTCAAGCATGCTAGGCAAGTTCTCTACCAGTTAGTTATATCTCCATGTGTTGTTTGTTTGTTTGTTTTTGTTTTTCCCAACATGGTTTCTCTGTGTAACAAGTAACAACTCTGGCTGTCTTGGCACTCACTTTTTAGATCAGGTTGGCCTTGAACTCACAGAAATCTGCCTGCTTCTGCCTCCTGAGTGCTGGGATTAAAGGCCTGCACCATCAATCCTGGCTATATCTCCATGTCTTATAATACTTCTTTTCTTTACTCTTCTTTCCTTTCCTTTTTTTAAAGTGAGTTTCTTTCATTTTATTTTTTATTGCTTTTGTTGTTCTTCAGAGAAAGCCTTTGTTTTTTTTTATGTTGTTGAAAATAGAGTTTTTTCATACAATGTATTCTGATTACAGTTTCCTCTCCCCCAGCTCTTTCCAGTTCCTCCCTGTCTTCCCTCCCACTTTATTGTTATTTTCCTACACCATATTCTGATTATGGTTTTCTTTTCATCTCTTCCCGGATCCTCCCCACCCTTCCAACTCCACACCTTCTTTCTCTCTCTCCTAAGAAAACAGGCAAATAATAAGGACAAAGAAACAAAAAAGAAAGAAAGAAACTAAGAGAAGGAGAAACACACACCGAGAGACACAAACAAAACCCATATCTATACATCTAACTTCTGTTGATTTTATGGAACTTTGTAGTGTGCAGAACAAGTCTTCACATTGCCTGCACCTTAACGTTTGAGAAGTGTATTTATTACATGACAGTGCAGAGAGTCTTTTGCAGATACAACCAAAGCTTGGAGTTCAAAATTAGGTGGGCCCTAGGCAAAGATCTTTCTCCAACTGAAAGTAGAAAGATGTAGTAGCAGAAGAGAGGTTGCTGACTGGGGGACATAAAAAACACAAGAAACTATGTGGCCCAACTTCTAGGACAAAACAAAACAAAACAACAAGGACAAACAACCATGTTTGGTTGATAGCTAGGAAAGAAAAAGAACTCAGACCCACAAACACAAAGACAGACTCTATGCCGAAATGAGCATGCACTGGCAGGGGGAGTCATCCCCAGAACTTCCAGGAAGGAATACAGCCCAGCTGATGCTTAAGATCATAGTTGGAAGACTCCACATGGAGGACCCAGACATCCAAACTGAGATTAAAATGGCTAGTATAATTTTAAAAATGTATGGTATTGTGTTATGGTAGAAAGGAAGAATAAAACTTTTATAGGTAATTCTGTGTTCCCAGTACATTGTCAATGTGATCACTTTTATTTAGTAATTAAGTGGAGCCTTTTGCTTTTAAGATCTTACTGCATCTGTGTTTTCT